CAGGTTGGAAATGTGAGATGAGCCTTCTCTTCGGTGTAAACACGCTTAGCTGGCTGCCGGTAATTATACTTGCTCATCCTGCTACTGGAAACACCGTGTCCAGTGTCAGCCAAGGGTTAACAAATTGTGTAGGAAGAAAACAATGGATTTCTTAAAAAAAAAAATCTTTGAACTGACTGTGAATAATAAAGGAGTCAACAACTCCTACTTTCCCAAAGCACTTTGAGGTCTGTAAATTCAGGTTTATGTAAGGGTGTAAATATTATTATTTATTTAAAAGCTCTCACATTTCCCTTCACCTCTCTTTTCCTCTTCCCTGTTACTTTTTTGTTGGGAAGATGCTATTTGCATTCATGAATATGTGTCCAAAGTGGGAGGCAATGGGAGCATGTGGAATGTAAGATTGGTTGAGAGAGTGAACAGGAGCAGGGGGGGAAAGGGGAGACACTCTAAAAAGAGTAAAAGAAGGTTAGCAAGAGGGGAATAATATTGGGTTTCTTTTGCATTTAAAAATTTCTTACCCTAAAGCATCAGTAGATCTTTGCTTTGGGGTTGGTTTATTTTTTAATGGACATTTCTTAAACCTTTTAGTTAAACATTCAAACAATAAAAAATTAGAGCAGCTATGATAAGAAAAGTTTTAAAAATTTATCTGGGCTTTAGTTGTCAAAGCATGTGATATGATTCATGTTTTTGGCATTCTGGCCAAAATCAAATTCAGGCTACTGCTGGTGCTATTTTTTTCACGCGTGCCATCTTTTAGTCTGTTCCTTTTTGCCTGTCGTCGTGCAGGGGAGGGTACAAAGGAGCCTTTGCTGCCTCGCTGCAGGGCTGGGCAGAGCTCCCACCCCTCCGAACCCACCGTCCCCCTGTGCCTGTCCTGCAGGCTCTGGGTCAGCGGTCCCTTGTGTTTTGGTAAATGTTGAGAATAGGTACTGGTATATGTTAGTAGCAAAACATCAACTAAATAGGAAGTTAAAATAAGATACTCCGGGAACAATCAAAACAATTGTAATGTGTGACTTTAATGGAAAACCTAGCTATCACAGAAGATGTGACCAAAATAACCCCACTAACTTGTATCCAAGGATGCATTTGTACTGACAAAAATATTTTGAGGCATGATTGTAATGAGAATAAACTGGTTCTATAGTGAAGGGGCTGCTCAATTATTGTAAGACCAAAACAGAGTCTCTTTTTCCTTTCAAATACATCTGTCTCTCTAAAATTGTTGGCCGTATGATTCCTTCATTAAAAACTGTCTTTCCTTGTTTGAAATATTTCTTTTCCTTTTTATGTCTGAAAGCCCTTCCTGTAGTTTTTCTGTTTGTGACTCCTTTACTTCACATTTTACTTCCCCCTCCCGTTCCTGGCATTGGCTCTATTGAATGCTGCCTCTTTATGACTTTATTCATTACTCAGCTCTGGAAATATAATCACTAACATAACTCCATTTATTTTTTTGCGTATAATCTATGTAAGACAAAATGCACAGTATTGTAATACAGATCCTTGTGATAGGATCCAAGTTCTTTATGCCTTAAATTTTTACATTAGGTGTTTTCTTATCGCTGTCAAAGTAGTCTTAGGGGTTCTTGTTTACTATTCACAACCATAGCAGAAATATCGGGCAAAAAATTATTCTGAAGAAGTGTTGCAGCCATATCCACCTGAAGCAGAAGAGTACAGGGTAGCTAAAAGCAGACAGTTTCCTGGTAGGCATTGGAGCTTCAAAGGCAAATTTGCACTTCTTAATGGAAAATAAATGAATTAACAATAAAGTTGTAGCATTTACATTCTGTTCCAAAATCAAAGCATCCTCTATAATGCCAGGGTCAGAGTCAGGTACAAATATTGATCCTTAGTAAATACCCAGATGTATATCAATATGGAATTGAATATTCACAAAACATATCTGACTGGGCCTTTTCATTAATAAACTTCATCGCTAAAATGTTTACATGCAGAATACTTTTCAGACAATAGAGAAAGCCAGGGCTTGAATTCTTCCAGGTAACTGCAGAAAGAAGGAAGGTGTTCCTCATCTGAGTAGGGGTAAGTCTTTAATCAAATAATTGTTCTGGCTGTAATTTGTATTGAAATCAGCACTGGTCTATCTAATGATCAGGGCTTTGTGTTTTACATCTCCAGAAGAGGGAAGGCTATTTTACACTAATGCAGTTCCCAAATGTATCCAACTAGATTTGTTCAAGGTTTATGAACAAGTCAAAATAGATAATGCTGTTTCTAACTAATGGAAACAATTCTCTTCAGTAAAGAGCCGTATAGCTGTTTCCTGGAGTCCCAATGTCTTGAGTGCACAGTAAGTGTTTAGCTGTGCATTCTTTGGATTTGTGGAACACTGAAAATTAAATCAAACTGTAAGAGAGACAGTTTCTCTCCTGATCTTAGCTGGGAGTCTTGCTCATGCATGCTGTCTTTTGAAGCTGTGTCTACTGAAAGAGCAAACTTCGTCACTGAATATTATTGCTAGTGAATATATATCTTGGTCTGCTCTGATACCTTTGCAGGATGGATAAGTATTTCTTTTACTTCCCTTGAATTATTTTTATTTTAGTTGTGACTTAGGTGCACTTGGTTTACAGTACCAGGGCATGAGTCTTAAAGATGAACAGAGCTGACACTTGCACAGCAAGTATTGCTTTTGTGGGGGAGATCTGTAAGGGAGCTTGTAGCACAGCTCTGTTATGCAGACATGTTTCTTACCTGTGTTATAACTTCTTGCAACATATAACTGTGACTGGACAGAGTTCACCTCTCACAGAATTTGCACATGCCAGGAATTTTTTTCTCATTCTGTGTTTGAGACATTTTCTGTGCTTGCACCTCCTGCTAACTGCTAGACTACCACAGGTACTATTCCAAGTAGCTGCAGAGTAATCCAGCACCTTTGTGACAGGAAATCAGGACCCTTGAAATTTGCCTACTTGCTTTGTTTTATTAAATGTTCCCTATCCAAAACTATTTTTTGAAATTAGGTCAGTTGCTTCAAAGTAAACCCTAAAGGGGGAAGGAAGAGCATTGGGTTATTCTTCTTTAGCAGCAGCATCTTCTGAATCTGTGCCGGGTGCACGAGAAGCGCTCTGGACTATGGCTCTGACTGCCCTGGTGTCCTGGGAAGAATTTCAGCCTCTTCTCCAATCCTGAAGGAGGGAAAGGCTTCTGGGACAAATAACACCCACCTTCCTCCCTTCTGGCTAGCTCCTTATGGAGGTTCTTACAGACTGACTCTGCAGAAGGTCCACCCTGGACTTCCAAAGAGAGACTGTAGATTGCCTGCCTTTGTGTGAGTGACTGTTTTTTCTTTCCTAAAGGTGTTTTTGGGAATACAATAGGTCTGATCTAGGATTGTTCCCTTCCTAAAACATTAACACGGTCAGCGCATAGGATTGTGCTTAGCAAATGGAATGAGTAGCATTGGAATAAAAATGCTGTGGAAGACGTCACCACGCTCGTGCTGAGCCCTAACTGGGTGCCTGGAATGTGTACATCTCGTACCTTCTCACTGTCAGAGCTGGGTTTCAGAAACAGTGACTCAGAAGAGAATAAGCCACAGCTCAGAGGGACACAAGGATTCCCAGTTAAAAGTTTCTTCTGATTTCCTACATGTAGGGCATCAGTGAAAAGCTATTTTTAGATGCAATGTTGAAGTCCACTTCTGTTAAGAAAACTGAGCGTGTGAACCACCGAGGTGGGCCTTGGGTCCATTTTACATCACTTCTTTCCACTTTGGACTGTTCTCTGCTTCACACAGAAGGAAAATTGGTTTCCTTTCCATGGCCATCTCTGTGCAAACTGCAGCTGGGAAGGGCGAGGCAGGGCTCGCACTTTCACCCTCGGGCTCCAGCATCATCCGTGAGCAGGACAATGGGGGGCAGCGGGGTCTCCACCAGCAGAGCCAGTGTGGCCAGGGGAGATGCTCGGCGGTTCCAGTGCCATGCCATGATGCTGCGTACGGGGCTGCGGAGGCTTTTATGATCACCACTTATTAAACATTTTTGATGCTGACGCAGGTGAAGAGTAAGTTCTGACTCACAGCTCCAAAGGCTGCGCGTCTCTGCGGGACTGAAAGGTGCAAAAAGCAAGAGTTTTATTTTTCTAAGTTACTAAGTCACTAAGCTGCTGGGAGATATGACCATGCACACGCAGACAAAGCAGATCTGCTGATTAGGCTGATGGTTTACAGCTTATTTTCTCAGTATAAGGTGCCTGTTGAAACAGAAAAAATCCAAAGATAGTAAAGCTACAGTGCCTAATGCAGTCCCGTCCCCCCAGCCCAGCTCCCCATTAAGCTCATCAGTAGAACAGACAGCGATGCTGGCGACTGCTTTGTCTAATCTGTAATACCACACTGTATTTATTGAATAACATATCTATGTATCGTATAGTCTTCTTCCTTGCTAGCATTCTGAATGCGATTATCAAAGGTGTCCTTACATCTTTAAATCTCATTTAGAAGGAGAGCCACAGCCAAAATGCTAATGAGCTCGCCTTAATTGTAAACATTGAGCACTGATAAGAATGAAACTCCATCCTCTGTTCTCAAAGTTGTTCTAACGTGTTTCCTACTTACACCGCTTTTTATCTGATTCTCCTTCACTTCTGTTCTTAGGCAGATTAATAGGCACCTGAACAGGCAAATAACAGTACTACATCTTCTTCACACTCTTTTGACAGACTTTTGAGATTGCAAAATATTTTTGGAAAATTATTATTGGAAAAAAGATTACTGAATGATCAGGCGGACAGCAATTTTTCAGTCTGGAACAAACCGTTCCCCAGCATTCACATGAACACATTAGTAACTCGTACTTAAATGCTGATGGGACATTTTTTAGAATGTGATAAGTGTGAAATAGCCTGTAGTTTTATCAGTCTTGGTTGCTGCCCACTCCTGCTAAAAAAAGGTTGATTGTGATCATTAAGTTGCAGGTAGGCAGTGCCTCTGGACTGTAAAATAGGAATGTTAGTGCGCAGTGATGAAAGCAAACTTTGCTCAACACCTGTCTATATATATTGCAGGTTTCAGTGGCTGCCCAGCTGATCCGTTCGCTCTGTTGTCTGGGAAGAAAGAAGTGGTAAGTAACAACAACTGAAACCAAGTTTTCTTTTCTTCTTTTTTGAACTCAGTTTATAAATCCAAAGCTCTGCTTTTGCAGCTGAAGGAAAGGCGACAGAGAGCTAATGTGGGGAACTGGAGTAGCATGTGAAATGTCATCGACTTGTCAGCTTTTTCACCTTGTGTTCTTTCAACTGCATTTATATTTTAAGGAAGTGATAAAAAAATAATAGTTCTAAAAAAAAACCTTGGCTACTTCTTGTCGGCAGATAACTAGATTCATTTTTATGGAATATGATAAAGAGAAAAAGCATTTTATTAGCAGCTGCCAAAAAAACCCAGAAATAACTGCCTATAGTATAAGAAAGTCTTATTTTAACTATTATTTGGATTGAAAAGAAGTGAGATTTTAAGTCATAGCAATCAGTGGTATTGGATAGTGGAAAATGCCTAGGATATGATTACTGAAACATTGGAAGGAAATACTGTCAGTTCGTGTGTTAACATAGATAGTGTGTAAAGTCTGTGTGCTGCACTATGCCGTGCCAGGCTATTCTCGATGGAAACATTTTCTTATGCTAATTTGGTTTGATACACAGAGGTAGAAGGAATACATTAGTCTAATGTAATTAGCTCAACTAATGTGGCAGTAGGCAGAAATCAACTGGTTTCTCAGTAACTTTTATTAGAAGCTCTTCCATTAGATCAGTAAGTCCTTTTAATATCATTACTTTTTCCTCTCTCGATTCTTTACTCTGGGTTCTGTGTTTGGGATGGGGTAGATCTGTTGTATTTCCTTGTTGGTGGGTTTATATTTTATTTTAATTCTAAAAAAGTCATTGTTTTATTTAAATACCTAGTAGGCATTTCAAGTAGTTCACTGACGTTTCCTGGCTCTGGCTCCTCAGTGGCAGTGCCCGGTGCTTTCCTTGGTTGTGAACAGAAAAATTAATGTTTGGGATTCGTTTTCTCTCTGCACTTGCTTAGAAATTCGTTCTCCTTACTAGTTTGTTTTATACGTTTTTTTTAGTTTTGCTATGTGTTAGATTCAAGCTTGTGAGCAATAAGTCTCAGGGATCCATAGGGATAAACAGTGAGCACAATGCTAATTATTATTTTTTTTTAGCTTTCATATATCTATTTTTTACTTTACTACTACATTAGTTGAAAGTTTACATCCTGGCTAAGCCTGTCAACTTATTCAGAGAAAAAGCCCCAAGGAAGCGGCTGGTGCCAAAGCAAAGCCAAGACTTGCTCCTAGCAAGGCTGAATCATTGCTGGTGTTTATTTAATCGTTGCCTGTTCTGTTGCACCAGGGATTTTGTGGCTGCCATGGAACAGGTTCTGGGGCAAAATTATCAGCTGATGTAAAGCTACTGAATGAATTTGTGCTGACTGAGGATCTTTCCTTTCCTGTCTCTACATAATGTGCTTCTATGTTGGAAAAGATACATTTTGAGGGGAAAAAAACAGTATTTCTTCAAGCTTTGTATAAGAAGGATTGCTACGTAGCTTGTTATTTACTCTTATGAAGTATGTGTGGTAAATATTCGTATTTACTAAGTCATATAGTCGGATATCAGATTAGCTGATAAATCCCTTTTTAACATAACAACCATAGCAAAGTGGTGAACGACAAGAAAGTAATGTGTTTTTGTAGAAACGCTGAGAGAGGAGAGAGAGCGAGAGAGGGGAAATCCTGGCTGAACCCCAAAACTTGATGTTGAGCTGCTTAAGCAACCTGTAGGCACACGTATGGTCGTTTGGTGGTTGTTGCAGTTATTACCAGTTGGTTTTGAAAATACTGCTATTTTCTCCAGTATTTTTATTTCACCTTGGTTTGACTGGGTCTGTTCCCCTGGAGGTGAGATTTCTTTAAGGCTTACTGCTTTGTAGTTCTTATTTCAGGCACAAAGTGGCCTTTCAGTGAGCTGTCACGGGTGGAGAGGTACAAACAATACCGTCCAGGCACATGCAAGGGGTAGTTCATACTCTCTGTGTTAAGTCCAGCAAAATAAATACATTTACAACCATTTCTGATTTAAAACTGAAAAGCACTCAGAGTCTAGCCCTGCAACAGAGGCAATGCTGTTACAGTCCAATGAGTCACTGAGGAACGCAATATAGGGCAACTGCGTGACACCTAGTGTTGCTCAAATAATTCCCCAGAGACTTTAACTCTTTGAAATGCTGCAGCGAGAGAGTCCATATGGATATAAAACCCACAGGAGCCCGCTTTGGCTTTGGCTTTCTCTCTTATTTCAGAATTTAAATGCCATTGATTTCCATCTATCTCCCTCTTAGGAGCGGGAGGTTTCGGTTTCTTTTGGAGTTAGAAAGGATGTCACACGTAGTTAGCATTTTCCAAAGGTGAGGAAAGACTATACTTACAAGGAAAGGAGCACACACGATGGTGTGAGAGGATTTGCCGCAAGGTTCACCGAAACGGACTGGATTACAGTTTGCGCAGGCATTAGTTTTCAGACCTTTGCAATATGCATAGCATATTTTGACCTGCCACTTTCAGGAGGAAATTAGCTCCCATTTCAGCACAGCTCCGAACAGGTGGATATCCAAAGTGACAATGCTTATCCGGATGCAAGCTCCACGACTACACCCCGGGTGCAGGCACTCTGGCCAGCACCCTGCCAGCTAAGGTGGGAACCGGACGCACAGCGCTGAGACAGCCGGGCTGGCACGGGGATGGGCAGAGCTCATCACTCCGGGCACCTCATCCAGCAATTGTGGCTATCGTGCCTTTGGACCTGGACCGGTGCGTCCAGCTGAACGTAGCTCCCTGTTGTGGCACACATCGTCACTGGCCCATCCTCTGCCCGTTCTCTAACATGTTCCCTTGCAGTGTAGTTATGTCTTCGGTGTTCAAAAGTAAACCACTATTAGGGTTTTCATTGTCATTTATATCTTGCGTCAAATGATGTTGGTCCTTTATACCGCGCCTGACGTCAGCCTTTCCAAAGACGCAGCTAATGTGAGCTGCCAGGGAACGATGCAGTTAGCTTTGCCACCCACTGCTCTGCTCCTCTGCAGCACCCAGATTTTCTTCTGAGTATTTTCTCAATACGTTAATGTCTGTATTTGGGCCAAGGAAGAATCCTTTGAAGGGAAAACTGTAGAATGTAGGTTATACCTGTAGCACAGCGATTAATTAACAGTAAGTAGCTGTGGCCAGGACTCTAGCAAACAGAGTATCGGGTAGCTGTAAACTATCTTCTCAGCTGTTCCTCTTAACAAGAGTCAGGATCTGGAGAAAGCTGACAGCTTTGGTAGCACTTCAAGGATCTAGATGGTTCTGCTTTCATCAGTCCTTGATACCGATCACACAGGATTGGCTCTTCTAGTAATGCCTCTGCAAACCCAAATCCACAAGGCCAATACTGTAAGGACTTCTGGTATTCAACTCTACTTTCCCAAATCAGAGGTTGACTAGGAATCATATGAATAATTTTATGTACATACCTATAAAAAAACTTCCTCCACAGAAGTGGTCAACTCTCATTCTGGGATATTTAATCACATAAAGCAAAACCAATAATAATACATGACGTACCTGTTGGATCCTGGGCACCTCAGGAACATGAGAAATGCTTATTATGAAAAAACGTCCTGCTGAATTCTTGAAAGGGGAGAGTTTATTTAGGAGACGTAGAAGCTGTTTGTCTACTGAAGTTTTCAACCTCCAGTTTCTCCAATGAGTGCATCAGCTCCGTTTCCATACAGTAATCATGCAGGCTGAATCCTTCATTTCCATACTGAGCATAACAGAAGAGCTGTAAAAGTACTGATGGCATCTCTAGTGGTGCTGGTATTCAGCATCTTCTGTGTCTCTCCACGGTGTGAATATGTTGTCAATGAAAGTTCACATCTGAATTTCCAATGCATTTTCATGATTGCATTTCACTTAAGAAGCAATTGTGCTGAGCAGTTATATTTTTTAGAGCTCTTTAAATGCTGAACATGTATAAATGAAACCCGTTTAACAAGACGGGTTCTGGCATGGGTGGGGCTTGGAGGTTGTTCTGGCATGGGTGAAAATATGAGAATTTGCTCCAAGCAAATGGAAACCCTTGTTGAAACAAGCAAGAGTGGTTTTCTTCCATCTGTTCTGAGATCTTTCTTTGTATATCGTGGGAGCTGCTCTGGGTCTTATGCCACAGATAAAGAATGTGTAGAAGCATAGTTTTTGCTAATGGGATTGTAGAATAATTTTTCCTGCTAATGTGGAAGGGGACATACTCTTTTCTTTGTGGAGTGCCAGAAAATATACCCTCCTCTGTTAAAGTAAGACATGAGTGATTTTGTCTGTGACATTTCCTTCGCAGATAAAGGAGGAGGATGTGTGGCTTATTGGCATGGGCAGGGACAAAACATTTTCACCATCAGCCACATAAAGGATTGCGATTAAATGAATGATTAATTATACTCCCTTACAGTGGCTGCTGAATGCAGGTGAACCTTGTTTACAGGAGCATGATACCAGCTCTGACAGTGACTTTTGGAGGCTGGGTGCAGGTGCCCTGTTTATAAGGAGCATTGTAGGCAAATTTGCTCACTGACGTTTCAGCTGCGTGTGCCAGACGCGGCGACCTCAGAGCAGCTTTGCCTGCAGAACTGACTGAGACGTGTGGCAGAGAGGGTGGAAGAGACAGACCCAAAGGTGAGGCTTTTCTGGCTAGGGTTCACTTCTCCCATCCTTTCCACTGAGTTTTCGGTCACACTGGCTGAGCTGACCAACAGCCTTACAGGCCTGGAAAGTATTATCAGATATTGCCTTGGCTCCCATGGTCACCTTCCCCCTCTTTCACGTCCCTTCGTCTGGCTTCTGACATTGGTGAAGTAAATAAGGAGGGATCTTGAACCAAAACCCTTGGTTTTGGTTCAAGGAACAGCTGCTGCCTCCTCTTGTGCCTGGGCTAGGTCTGTCACATGTGCCTGTACCTGTGCCAACAGGATTTGGCCATGTGATATCTTATTTTTTAGGTTATTATTAGTTAATATTACAATGCATGTCGAATGTGCTCAAAAGGGGTCAAGAAGGAAGAGGTTCAGGCAGAGAGCCTACATGAGATGGGTGAGCCTGACCTTGCTGCCACTTGCAGCTTCACTTGTAGCATCAGCGGTGGGTTACAGGCAAATATAGACCTGCAAATGGCCACTGCTGTCTAATTACACTCTTGTCTAGTCATTCAGCAAGCATCATTCTGGAACTTGAAACTCTGGGATCTTCCTCCACCTTGCCCAGGGTCACGTTCCCCTCCATGCTTCCATGGGAATGAACTAGTAAAGGCAACAAGAAGACTGTGTTTAACATACATGACCCAAATTGGGAATGCTTTAGGGAAGAACTTTCTTTGCTAAGCTCTGTGTAATGAATTGGCAGTTTGGTAAAGGCAGTCAGTTAATTCCAGAATGTGGAAGAAAGTAGAACAGTCCTCTGACTTTTTGCTGAAGGGAGATAAAATGAATTAAAGAAAAGAAATGCCTAAGGTTTGGAAAGCAGAAGAATATTTGCTTTCATGACAGTTAAAAGTGAACAAAAATACAGGCATGAGATGGAAATAATTTATTTTAATTGTGTAAATTGCACAAATAAATCAACTGTGTGGCTTATAAAGTAATTGAGAAAACAATTTTGCAAATAAAGGAATAATTCATAACGATTAGTAAAAAGCTGTGTTCAAGGACAAATTACTTCCATTCCATTTCCATCTCTTTTGCTCTTAATCATATTTCTCACATACCCTGTTGTAAGTTAAATATTTTGACTGCGCAAGCATTTTAATCAGTACTACTTTGTTAGTCACAGATCATGGCTCCCTGGCCTGAGGTGGAAAAACCTGAAACCAATAACTATATTGGGGATTCTTCCAAACAAAACCAGAACATGGCTGGGAAAGAAGGAGAAAATCACAAAGGTAATTTGTGCTCACCTGTGAGTTACAGAGATATTTAAGTTTTGGGGCTCCTTGGAGAAGATGGAAAGTAATTAAACCATTTTTTAATGTTCTGTTTCATCAGGCAACGTGGCTTCACTTGGAAATAAAGGGGAAATTCAACCTGCGTTTTCCACAATAGCCTTGATAGATGAGACAAGGCCAGAAGAAAGCGACCCATGGGCTCTGCCAGAACTGCAGGACACTGGGGTCAAGTGGTCAGGTAGCTATTTCTCAGTAAATAAGTTACCTGCATTTATTTTTTCCATCGCTTCTGCTCTCTTTCTCTCAGTTATTTTTCTGAAATTATATTTGCTGCAGAATTGAATTTAAGATTTGAGGAGTTTTCAGATGTAGTCTTTATATTCTGTCTCACCTTCCCCAACAGTGAATGGGGATATTATTTTTAGTCAGTTAAGAAGAATCTGGAAGTGATGCTGCTTAGCCTCCTTAAAACACAAGGAGATATATGGAAAACAATCCAAATCTGTTATGGTTTTATATTCAGGCTCCTATTGGTCTTTTTTTCACTCAGTAGGATGACTGTAAAAACAAGGGTCAACCTCAGACTTCACAAGGCTTTTGCCGTATGCCAAAAGCTTTCACATGGTAAAACTAGGTAAACGAACTACCTGCTTCTGCAGTTAAAATTTGATAAAGAAGAATATTCTTTCAGATTTAATCATATGCTGAGGTCACAACACTGTCTTTGACTGTGTACTCTCTGCTTGTGTGCTAGACTGTTCCAGAGAGAACACCAGATACAACAAGTAAGTATTTTATGCATAATGTATTTGTTTTGCAGAACTGGATAGAAAAGGAAAAATCATTCGTGTACTCTACGGGATAGGGAAGTTTATTATGCTACTTGGATTACTCTACTTGTTCGTGTGTTCTCTGGATGTACTGAGCTCTGCTTTTCAACTGGTAGGAGGTATGAAAATACCTAAAATATCAAGCATAAACTATGAATGAGGCAGTAAATTTCATCTGAGTGACTAAATTACAAGTATTCTTCAAGAACATTCTCCATAGATTAATGTGTTGAGATATGGATTCAGAAGGAAGTAGTTCTGATTAAAAACTGACCTTTATTTGTTTGAAAGGACTTTTCTTTCTCAAATTCCAAAGAGCTGTTGATGTAGGGATTATTTGCCCCAATTTCTTAGTAAGTTCCTGTTACTTTAGTGACAGTTTACATGAATACATCTGTGCATAAATCTGTCCCATGTGAAAGACATTTCAACAAGGTGAAATATGAAAATTGCGCTCTTGATCAAAGCATCCAGCACTGAAATGTCTCCCAAATCTTGCAAAGATGAAAACTATTGAAATGTATTTTTTCATTTATCTATCTCCAAGTGTTGAATTCTGCTGATAGATTCAGAAGTGGTTATCAGAGAAATATGTGAACTTCTGTGGAGGTAGTTTGGATTTTTGGCAACACAGAAAGCTACAGGAACAGAATTACTCAGGATTATTAAAATAGTTTTCCTTGATGCAGTAATCAAAAACATCTAGGCAGTCATAGCATTTAAATTTATGCACGATTTTGTCCTACAGTCTTTCCTCTGATGGCTGTGGTTTTATATGGTTCTCTGCAGAGTTCATTAGAGCTTGTTCAGTCACTGAAATGAGAGATTATAAAGTATTCTCTGATAACTGAGAAGCTGAGAGTTCAGGACCTGAATTTGGATCCCCAGGCTACATCACCTTGTACATTTTTTGGCTGTCAAGCATGGCTATATATGTATCAATTAAATGGCTGAATGATCTTTAATTAAACACTCTGATAATCCCTATGGACTTCACCTTGTACTTTCCTCACTCTGAGAATATGTTTTTTGTAGGTAAAGCAGCAGGAGACATTTTTAAAGATGATTCAGTGCTGTCTAATCCTGTTGCGGGATTGGTGATTGGAGTTCTGGTGACTGTTATGGTCCAGAGCTCCAGCACTTCTTCATCCATTGTGGTCAGCATGGTGTCCTCCACACGTAAGTCTGCTTACAGTACCTTCTTAGAGATCACTCGTGAATCTTGGTCTGGAGTGCAGACATTCCCACCTGTGTTCAAGTTGCAGAAGCCTTGGGTGTAAGCGTAGAGACTGAAGGAAAAGATTTTCACAGCTGTTGCCCTGATATAAATTTTTTAAAAGTAATAATAATAATAGTAGCAGTCGTAGTAGTAATAATAGTAAGTCCATAACTGCAATGAAAATCATTGGAAGCCTTGGCATTGAATGCATTAATTTTGGAAGTATCTGCATACTTTTCTCATGTTAGCCAGTTACTGAACTTCATTTGTTTCTGTGGCACCATTTCAAAATCCTGCAGTAAGCAGGAAAATACCTGGAAAAGAAGAGACTTTGTCTTACTCTGGCCCTCTAACATGTAGTGAAAAGGAATAAGCATGGGCTGCAGTTTCAGTGGGGATCATGGGACTATGGGAATACCATGTTCCCAGGGGGCTTGATTAAAGCAAACGTATCTGGATTGGAGTGCCTAATCCCAGCGACATCAAGGGAGGTCAGGATTCCAGTGACATTTGTAGATGTTAATTTTTATTGCAGCAAAGAGCTTGCTGATAACTTGATTTTTTTTTTTCATTCAATGCTTCCTTTTCTGCTTTCTAGTGCTGACTGTTCAATCAGCTATCCCTATCATAATGGGGGCAAACATTGGCACCTCAGTTACAAACACAATTGTGGCACTCATGCAAGCTGGGGACAGGAATGAGTTTAGAAGGTATTGTACTTAAACACTACATCTGAAAAGTTGCTTTTCTTCCTTCTTCGTAGGTTTTCTTCTATATTCCCTGTCACTACTACTGCCATTCAACCTTTCTACTGACCAAAATTTAAATGTCTAGTTAGAAAAGTCACAAGCATGGCCATGGCCAAGGTATAATGCTGTCTAGATATATGGCTTCATATACTTGAAGAAAAGCATAATGGGTTCCATTAGCAGTTTTGAGGATCTATAAGGATCCACCATTTTTAACCAGATCTTGAACAAGGACAAATTTTCAACTGCTTCCACTATACCATCCACCTTTGATTATCTCTTAATTATGGGAGGGCTGTACAAGAAGTTAATATTACAGAAGTGTTCTGGCTGTCAAATATATACAGTGACAACTTTTAGACTTCCACTTGACATTGTTGGTGAGAGAACTCATGGCTTACTGGAGATGGGCAGTAAACTTGGGAGGGATATGAAACTTCGGTACCTTGTCATTTATGGCACACCAGATGTATGAAATACACTTAGCCAAAGCATATTCCTCCAAGATTTACTGTCCCAAATCTTTGATTGTCACTTAAATTCTAACACCAAAGTAGCCTGTTAGTATCTGGCCAGGACAGGAGCCTAAGTTACAGGATTAGCATGTCAAGGAATTTTTCCTCCACATTTTCTTTCTTCACAAAGCTTAATTTAAGGAGCTATATTTTAAAACAAATACAGACAGATTGCTGAGAACGAAGAGGACCACAAGCAGCTATTAGGAAGATGGGAAAG